CAGGCTATAGGCCAAGTATCATTACTGTACAAGTACGGGTCAATGTAGTTTATTTGCACAAAGTTGATGGCCCTTCATTCCAAAAAGTCAAATCTTACCTATGACCTTGAACGTAAAAATAGGTTATTAACTTGAACCGAGTCAATAGCCCTTCACCGTAGCAAGCAAGCTACATGTGTACATGCCTAATTACACGATCCTTGGCTTTATGGTTCTTAAGTAGACGCCTGATAGACGATGTGCCATAGCAAAATCTCACAAGCACTTTGTATGCTAGGTGAACTAATCAACAGCAAGTAAAGTGTGTCCAATATTCTGGATATATATATATAATATCTGTGTTTACATTGATCTGTTTCCTTTTGCCATATATAGTACTTCCTGTTCTGATTATAATACTGATATAAATACAACATTTGAATATAGTTTTGTTGTTGACATTGATGGTCTAGCTGTCAAATAAGGACAGAAATGACAGAAATTGCATTATCTACTTCATTTTTTTTTAATTTCCTAACATCTGCCATTATTGCTTTATATTATACAGTTTCTTCATTATTCAAAAGTATATCCAGGAAATTTAATTCTCAACTGTATATAGGTTGATGCAGATTTTCTGTTTTTATAAGCTTTGGAAATTATCCTTTGTCATTTCAATCTGATATATTTAACCACTTGACCATTATGTTAAAAGTATGACCAACTCCAACATATTTAAAGTAACTTCCTAGTACCATAATATAGGTTCTAGTTATCATGTACAAAGACAAAAACAACAAATCGACAAAGTGTACCAACACACATACAAACCACTCTAAGAAACAAATATATCTTTTGTACAGTTGAACCTCCTCAAACTTGGCTCCAATAGTTTAGAAAATGATTTTTTTAATCTTATACCTAGCAATCAGATTAACAAACAATTGAGAAGTATATATTAGCAACATTAATAAGTTATTATTGTGTAACTACTGCGGTTTAATCTTTACGATGTCCCACTGTCCATGGACCAACTGTTGTTAAACCTGTGAAAAGCCTGACCCTGCTTAATACTGCAACATGATGTCCTAACAAAGCCAAGATTACAGATTGTTTGTACAATTTTCGTACAGTATGTGTTTACTGGCATTTGTTAAGTACATTTCTAGGGACCTGAGTCAGTGTGCTCACATTTAACAAGTGTAAACAAAAATACCATTCTCGTGCCTATTTTCCATGTTTTTATCAATTATAGAATTCTGCAGTAAAAATGTTATACCTCAAAATAAATATTTAAAAATTTGACAATAGTACAACAATTATATATAAGTATATATTATGTAGTTCATTAAAATGTTAAAGAGTTTGAACTTTCAGGTATAAAAACATATAACAAATACATTTAAATATCTAAATACATGTACCTGAAAGTGAACGTATGGTTGTTTGAAATTCACTGTAACTACCATAATTGTCTTGTTAACATGTCTTTGTTTACTTATTGATCATCACCTTTTTAAAATATTTTTATGAACAGTTTATCACTTAAAGATTCTTTCTGTAATTTTCCATTTTTCTTATGACAGAAATGTCTGTGTGACATACCACATAATCTCGATAAATAAGCCTAATTTGATAATATGCCAGCCTTGAAAGTAAGCCTCAGATTCCATGTAGTTAAACATATCTAAAAAAATAAGCCAGTCTTGAAAGTGAATATCAAATTTTAGGTAGGAGCCACATTTTCCCTGTGGGCCTACAGGTTCTTCTGGTAACATCACATCACAAGATTTATTACTGCAACCATAAGATAAAAGGAAACAAAATCATTTTCATTTCATTTAATAAAACACCCATGTAGGACATTACCTGATATTTTTTCCATGCATACAAGAAGGACCAGAAAATATACCATTACTGACTTTTAATTGTTGTCTGAATGAATTTAAAAATAAGACTACCTTGAAAATAAGCCTGCTCTGAAAATAAGCCTGGGTTTCCTATCTAAAAGTGAAAATGAAAATAAGGCTCATCTTATCATCGAGATTTTAGGGTAATAAGACAGTACGGGGATAATGAACTGTTCCACTTCTTCATAATATTACACCTTTACAATACATTTATTCTTAAACCAGGAATATGTTATACATTTCCAAGTTCAATATCTAAGATTCTTCCACAGGTTTACACACACAGACCTGCATTTATGATTATTCAATGGCTCACATACACAAATTAAATCTGTGTTTTGATCCCTTTACTGGCTCACACACACAAATTAAATCTGTGTTTAGATCCCTTTACTGGCTCACATACACAAATTAAATCTGTGTTTAGATTTCTTTACTGGCTCACATACACAAATTAAATCTTTGTTTAGGTCCCTTTACTGGCTCACATACACAAATTAAATCTGTGTTTAGATCCCTTTACTGGCTCACATACACAAATTAAATCTGTGTTTATATACCTATACTAGCTCACATACACAAATTTACCTGCTCACATATGTTCATTACCCCTTCTACTGGTTCACATACCGATCTGTTCACATACCGATCTGTATTTAGATCCCTTAATTTACTTGCTAAGATATGTCACTATCCCTTCTACTGGTTCACATATACATAGCTGTACCTTTCCAGTGGTCTTAATCACGTACAGAGATCTACCATTTTCCATCAATTATTTTAAGGTTGTATGCTACCTTACGGCGACATACACTGTCTGGGAGAGTTCCAAACAAATGTGTAAGTTGTACATTTGCAGGTAATTTGAACTTGCTTGATTGATGGCATTTTACAAAAGTACATACCCAATAAGAATACATACATTGACACAAACAATAAGGTGAATCTGTATTATAAGATCATGTAATTTAAAACATTTTAAGGGAGGCAACTCCTATTTAGATCACAGGTATAATCTTTATGATAGCATATATTCTTGGTGTATTTCAGCGAAATTCAGGGCCATGCTTATCATACTAATTATAGATAACATTCACCACCAAAAGCATATGACTGTCTGGACAGCACAATCTCTCAACACCTAAATTTCACACCTTTTGCTAAGTTCTTGTATACGACTGGTATTTTATCATAAATGTTAACAATCTGTTTCCTTACAAATTTAATATAATGTACAGATGCAATGTAATTTTCTCGCTTTATAAATCTGAGAAGATAAAAACAATACACAGAATACAAAATGGCAGCCATATTTGAGAATATCTCTGGTGACTTACAGAAGTTACAACATACTAAACTTTAACTTCCATCCAATTAAAACTGTATAAAATACATGTATCATAACATACTACATGCAGTCTTTCCTCGTCAATTCAATTACAACTGTATAAACTCCATCAACAAAATAGAATATCATAAAGTAAAAACATAGAAAACCATAACACATGGTGTTATTATACAGCATTTGTAATGATATTTAGCAGTACAAACATTTCATATCTTGGTTAGAACTTCATAAAATATACATGTACATGTAGTATTTATTGTTTGTTTGTGGAAATACACCCTTAATGACAACAAAGGAATGATGGTAGCAAACTACAGGTGACAAACAAACATCAAAGAATCTATGAATGAAATCAAGAAAAAACTGATCTTCCTATCCATAATACAAATCCACGAGGATTTTAAGTAGCTAACAAACAATAAACTGGAGAAAATCAAATTTCTTTTTGATTAGCCCAAGTTGTTTTTTCTTAAATCAAGTTAACAGTGAAATGAAGTTATTAAAGTACAAAAAGTAAATGAAGTAATAGTTATCCTTCTGATTGGCATTGTTGAAGTTTTGGGGTGGCATGATTTGGTTTCCACTACCGAGGCATTTTGTATCAGTGAAGTGACATTGATATTTGAACTTTGGGCATGAAAATTTAACAAGGCCAAGTACAATTCGCAAAGAAGCAGTGTATAAAGTTTGTTAACTGCTGATTTCAGCTTTGATGCAGAAACCAATTATCTATTGACCCTGACCTTTGACCCATAAAAGCAATCATTTACTATAAGGAAGCAGTGTAAGTTTGAGTGCCTTTAGCCCATTAGAACTCAATATATTCAATGAAAACCCATTTTCTATTCACAGCAACAGTGACCTTGACATTTGGATATGAAAGTAATCCGAAACAAGTACTTTCTATTAGGAAGCAGTTTTTACAATGTTCGAGTTTGATAATGACAGCCAACAAGAACTTGAGTTATTGCACAGAAACTAATTTTCTGTTAAGAGTAACAGCGACTTTGACCTTTGGGTCTGAAAAGCCACCCCAACAAAACACTTTCAATACAGAGGCAGAGTTGGCAAGATTGTAAGGTAAGATTGAGCAGAAATCAATTATTTTATCTAAAGTAAGTGATCTTGACCTCTGAACTTCAGTTTTGGAAAACAATCTAATACATGCACCACTTTGGTAAGGAATCAGTATGAGAGAATCGAGTTTTGATGGCGAACAGAACTTTGGTATATTATTATGTGGAAATTAGTTTTCTATTTATAGAACTAGTGAAATTTACCTGAACGAGCAGTAAAACAATCCCATGCAAGCACTTTCTATAAGAAAGAATTCGAAGTGTATCAGGTTTGAGATTCAATGGCCGACTGGAAATTGATTTATTGTGCAGAAACCAATTTTCTATTCATAATAACAGTCACATTGACATTTAACTTTCGTACCTGAAAAGCAAACCTAGGCAAGTTCCTTCATTGAGGAAACAAGGCATGAAATTTGAGTAAATCTTGTCTAGCTGACCTCCAGCTATTCATCCTGATATCCAGGGGTTACGCTCACTTTCGCTCTCTACACTACTGGAATATGTCAGGCACAAAGATAGCAGTTTGATTGGTCTCAGGTCCTTTGAAGATTACAAAGGAGAGATGCCCGACTTCAAAGCCTGTTAATTCTTACCGTTATGTTACGTGACCGCGAGATTCTTTTGATGTACATCAAAGGATCAAACTAGTCTTCTTGTCTCATCCACAAGGTGGCGCACACTGAGCCTACAATTTTGCTATAATATATTCCAGGGGTGCAGAGAGCAAAAGTTAGCGTAACCCCTGGATATCGAGGATGCCAGCTATTGTGCAGAAATGGAAGTTGGATGGACAGACGGACGGACAAGATTAATGAATTTGAAATCAATTTCAAACTATACACTATACAGTATTTTAAGTTACCATAAAAAGCTGCATATCTCAAAATATCATGACTTGATGGATGACAAATGAGTATACCTTGTTACTACAGACAGTATTCAACTGTTGAGCTCTGAAGGTTACAAGTGATGGAGATTCAGTAGATACAACATGTAAAGATGAGCATGACCTGTGAAGGCAGGAGTCTCTGATGTAGCAAGTTGTTGAACAACCTTAGTCAGCAAAGGTTGTCAGAGGTCATGCAGGCTCTGGAGATGTGGTGTTGTGTTGGTGTGGGATGAGGTAGGATTTTCACTGGTGCTGGCAGAATTACATTGAAAGGGCTGGACTACATCTTCTCTAGGAGAGGCAAGATGTTTTGGTGTGTTCTGACTCCCAGAGTGTGTGGGAGTCGCCGACTCACTTGACCTTTTGCCCTTACTAGCACTTGACCTTCTAGACTTCTTCTCCTCAGATGTTGCCTTTCTCCAGGTTCCCTTCCGTTCAACATCCTGATGGACCACTAACAGAAGTTCTTTTTCCTCATCCTCAAGCTCCTGACGCAAAAATCCAAGCAAAATCTTTTCATCCCCTATGACTTGGGGGGTGTCTAGCTTAGAGTCTAAATTGTAATAAACATCTCCTATCTTGCGAAAGGCTATCCAGTGCTTTCTCTTGAACGGGAGTCTCAGCATACCCCATTTATAATCTGTTGGTGTATTCAGTATGAATCCAAAAATATTTTCCGGAATTAGGCATTTTATATCCCTGCAAAAGGAAATTGTATATGGTTAATATAAAGACCTAGCATTCTAAAGTTTGTATTAGAATTAGACATTTATTCACCAGATGGCAAAATGCAACTGCACCATTGAAGCTACATGTACCGGGTTCTCATCAAAAGCAGCTTATGATATATGAGCTTGTTTGATAAGTGAATTTTCATGTAAGATACTACTCTGTAACCAGATGTGGTGTACTAAAAGTTGTCCAACATAACAAAATTGTGGACAGATATTTCAATGAAACATGTTCACCTGATTTTTTTTATCCTCAAGTTTGACATGTAACCAAATTGATTCAATCCAATTATGCAAGTGTAGTTCAGAAGATGATATCATTGAAGTTACTTAAAAATAACCTGCAAACTACCTTCTGGTATGTTTACACAATTATTATGACTCATTGGTACAGATAATTCATTTGTTCAAACTTGCACCTCTGTATTTCATGTACATGTATCCCTTTTCAGGATAGATATTTTTGAGAAAGCTATTGCATTTGACTATAAGAAGATTACTGTTTTATTTTTCCAATACAACATTAACCCCTTTTATTATCATGCCAGCTGCCTGGTTCCTTGCTAGTTTCTTTTAATTTCAAACACTGTTACAAGTAGAGTAACCTAAGCATACCATATGAGATAAAAAGGTTCTTTCAACCACAGTTTATCTTAATGTTACAATAATAAACAAAATGATACTACTAATAATCGGAATATCCATAGTTATTTTACTTACTTTCTCTTATCAAACCATAGAGTTTCACAATTCTTTTTCTGAACAGCTGCCATTATTACATTGACATCGTAATTGCCAAAGCCAAGGACACTTCTGTGTGGGTTGATAAAATGGTCAGGAGAAAGTCTAGAAATTCAAAAACAGAAACTTGTTACCAGACAGTAACTAATGTACGTAGATACCTACTGCATACAGGGTAAAATATAGATACATGTAAGTAAGATATACATTTATGTGAATGAACAACTATCTTGAGTCAACAAAAAATAACTACAATGTATTCTGTAAATTAGAAACATAAAATCTCAAACCCCCAGCTCTGACTCATAAAATTATTAAACAAAACTTTACTTCAATATTCAAAAAAGTAAAAAAAAAAAAGAATAATTATATCTGTTCCCAGGCCAACAATTGAAACTGGAAGATGGTTGAAGATGGAATTATATAAATGCTTGGATTTCTAAAAGCTGTTTTAATGGTTTGATTAGTGATAAAGTGTTGTGCAGCTTTATAAAAATTGCAAAACCATACTAATATATTGTACTTCATGAAGTTTACCCAGTATAAAACTGTAACCTTGTAATCTTTTTATAATTTAACAAAAAAACAAATTGAAACCTTTTATGCTAATTAATTCAAAATTCCAATTAAGGAATAAAGGAATTGATACATTACGGTTTTATTTGGCAGGATATAAGATCTAAGACACATGCATGTATTACTACTTATATGTATGGGGCAAAGAAGTATATATATACTACGATACTATTCTTGCCTAATCTTTTATTATCAGGTCATTGATTATACTGATTCCTTTTTCTAACCAACTTGTTTCTAGCCAACTGATCAATGGATAGCTATTTGATAGATATCCCATTTAAACATCAAATATTGAAACAGCATTACTTTGTAGCTTCTTTTTATGACAAAAACTTACATCTAAAACCATCATATTGTGAATATACAACTTCTGAATTGTTACTCAATAAGGTGCACTTGCTATAACACATTAGTGTAAGATACATGTATAAACAGCTGATTTATAACCATTGTTCCAACTGTCACACCAATATTCTTTTTCGGCAATGCCTCCTATGTGCAATTTTTTAATTACCTTGCATCAATATTGGCATGGGTCATTAATTAAGTCAGTCGATTGGCAATTAATATTTTTCATCTGGTAAGAAATTGTAATTTAAAATCATCTATTATTTTATGATGGTATTTAGTGTATTTGGTATATTTTAATGTGACCTGGATTAATTATAAAAAAAATATGGGAAAATTGGTCTATTTAATTAGTGTGAGATGCTTTAATATTGAAAGCATATTTTCAAAACGAATTCTATGCACATGTAGCTGTAGCTAAGTTTTACTGTGTGTAGCATTTATTTGATTCACATGTGGATACTTGAGGAATAACATTATATGTCACCATATACAGGTCCAGTACACTCTGCCGATTGAGCTATATAGCTATAAAGACCTATATAGCTATATTCACCTATAAATTATAGCTGTATTGAGCTATATTTTCTCAGATTTCAGATCTCATTAGATTAAAGCAAAGTCGCATTAAACAATAAGGTTGATGGTAATGTTGACTACAAAAAGCATACAGTTAGATGTTTATTTTCATTTTTCATAAATGCTAATGATAAAATCTTATTTTAAAAGCGACTTTGTTTCGTTTTCCTTAAAAAAGAAAAGCACATGAAAATAGCTCTATAAAGACCTATTTCAGATAGGTCAATAGAGCTATTATAGGTCTTTACAGCTATATAGCTCAATCGGCAGAGTGTACTGGACCTGATATATATTGCTTTGTTTACAAGGTCATCATATATACATAGAGTATTTAAATTATGTCCTTAGCACATATATTCTCTATGGAGACTATAACCGACAACCACACATAAAAGAATTAATATGTCAACCACTGCTAAACTGTCAGTGAGTGATGATCACCTGATGCAGACTTCGTCCAAGTCTTTCTTGCTGAATGCCTTTTTGTCTTGGTACAGGTTGTTGAGTGCGTGTAGGGCACATAATTCCTTTACCTGTCGCTCGTGGTAAACGTCTGATTTAGCTTGTTTTGAGTTATCCATATTTAATAAACTGAAACAACTCAAACATGCAATAAATTAGCATACTTGAAAATGGTCTATGTCGCGGTTATTTGCTAACCAAACACTGGTTGCGAATTAATGGAAACCTCAAGGCTGTTGCAATCGGCCTACAGGTGCTTGTTGCTATTTGATTAAACGAATATTCACGATGACTATGTATACGATACAAGGCGAAAGCTACACTTAAAAGCAGTCTGAGGATGCAAGAACTTTGGTGTGTGTCGGAAGAAATGTTAAGCAGGTTATCAAAATATCAACCGGTTCACACAATATTTCCATCCAGGAAGAGACCATCGAGGTGCGTTCTACGTCACAGAAATCGTTAAACTCTTGTGAAGATTGTATGGTCCAAGGCTATTGTAAAGGAATGTTTATTTTCTTTATTCAATCAATATTCCCAGCTTCAAAATAAATATATCAAAATTATAAATTATACTTTTTTGTTTTGCTTTTTTTTTTCAATGTTATTTCTCACTTCCTGTATTTTTACACTAATACCCCGAACCAATTACCGGATCCGGACTGAATGATCCGACTCCAATCGTATAATATAAGATTGAGCATTGTAACTAGACATACATTATCTGTTAAACGTCTCTGTTTGAACCAATACAAGTGTTGCAAAGGCGAGGCAAATCAGAGATAAGTTAGACGAACAACAATTTCAATCCGGTTGAAGTTGTTTTTCCACTGATTAGTCCGATTGCCCGGTTAATATAGCTTTGAGATCCATTAATTCACAACCATTGGGAATTTCTAGTAAAGTTCTACAAGAACAAACAGGGATATGTGATCAGCAAATAGATTTACGGTGAGAAATATGAAAAGAAACTGACTAAGTACTGGTTTAATATTTAAATTTGACTCGGCCCTGTGACCTAAAACTAGCTCAAGGTATTTTTTTAGCAAAAATTATCGGACTCTGTTCAAGATAGTTAGTTAAAAACCAAACATTATGAATGTAGGCATTAAAGTTTTTCAGAAGAATTCGTTTGAAGTTTTATACATATTTAACTTCTGTGAACTTGAAAGCCGTAAGTCTATGTCATTTTTGTTCGCAAACGTTTACGTTGTTTGGCTCCATCTAAAAAAAACTACCATCATATACTTTCGATAATGACTCTAGGCCTTTTGATTCTAAAGAAGAAGTCCTAGTTTGATTTTTTTATCATTATTTAATTTCTACATGTGACCTTGAAAGTATGTCAATGCCATTTTTGTTTGCAAACTTTGTTCGGCTTCATCCAAGGAATCTACCAGTCTAATGGTGATCACACTGACAACATTGATTCATAAAGGAATAACACATACACTACTCAAACATGATACACTGTGGAAATCAATTAAGCATTAATAAAGCTGAATATGCTTTTACTCGTATGATGGGTACACCATGGATCAAACCATGTAAAGTCCATGTGTAAAAGCTTCAGCTTGCACCATAACAGGATGATTTTTTTTCTTTAAAAAATCCACATGAGCTCAAAAGTGCCTGCATGTACAATTTAGTTACTAATGTCAGAAAGAAAACTACGGCTACCAGGGAGTTAAAGAAAAAAGTTATTTAAATATAATTCTTTCCGTGTTGATCTTGTAGAAAGTCCTTGAAGTATTCGTGCAGTAATCCTTTTGAGAATGTTTTTTCTTCTTCTAAATCACAGTGTTTTAGATTAACAACCTTCTTGTGTTAATGATCATGTTCCCGTTGCAAAATACATATTTCTGTTTAAAGTGAGCACCATGCCAATCTAAATATGATGCATTAATTTTATTTGCATACTATTTATTCAGTTACAGCCGCCGAAACTCGCCGTGGTGTGTACATAATTTGTGCTATAAGTTATAATGATAGCCTGCTTTGCCGCGGCAATGTACTGTACATAGTACATATTTCTCTTTGCCGGGTTGGTATTTTTACTGAAAGTCGATCTTAACCCTTAAAACATGTAAAATTACTCCGAACACGCTAATTTAGGTCCACATGTAGTTGTAACAAATTCTAAGGTCCCTGTGTGTAGTCACGGACTTGGATCTAATCTAATTCCGTGGTGTAGTAACCAAGTTGGTTTGTGAAGTTAACCAAGTTGTCAGCAAATTAAAAATAAAGATTTGAAATAAAAATTTCATTGCTTATATATTCCATGGCCTTTTCATTAAACAAGACTTTCATAACAATTTGAATTCACTCAGTAGATTAAAAAATTATGAATGTTGTCTTGTAAGCTGTCCGGAATTTACTTAGCCCGGAAGTTTGCAGGTTTTAATTTTAAACGATGCGTGATGACATGTTGTGCAAGCTGAGAAGGAAAGTTTATAAAGATTTTGTACCGGTTGTGATTAATTTGCAAGAAGTATTCATGCGATCCTTTTTAATTAGGTAATATGCTTTGATGCTATAATTTGTTTGATGAATGAACAGAACTTTATGATTTCTTAGCTTATAGTATTCCCCCCTGCCAAACTTTTCTGTACAACGGTCACACTCACAGTATGGTCCATTTTCAACCAAAACAACAAGAAGTCGTTGTTGGAGTCCTGTTTTCGTTACTAATCATGACAGTTCAGTGCGTGGTGTTAACTCAAAAATACCAGTATTTTAGTTTTAAGTTATTTGACGACACGCGAATGAAAATAAGTATCAGATTAAATTTCTTAACCAAACATATAACATTAAAAGTAGGCTGCAGTATGTATTGCAGGGTCGGTTTTATCATCCCCGATTAGCTGTGTTGGTGAAAAGTCGGCACTGTGATGTGTATTTCAGCCTATGACACTATCATAATAAAATATGTATATTCGATCTTGTTATGTATCCAAATATTATCAAAGAAATAAACAAGGTTGTAGTGTAGCTACTGACCTGAGAGAAGGAATATGTACTTCTAATTCGTTTCTTATAAAATAATGTAAGCTTTAATCCAATATAAAGAAAGGGATGATTTATTTAAACATGCATATTCATGTTAAGGGGAGAGCAATGCCCAGATGAAATTTTTTGATGATGAAATATATTGCAATTACTGCCTGTGTATATGTAGGTCATATTGCATGACGCAGGGTAAGTCCATAACATATATATATATATATAAATATGAAATATACACTGGTACAGTATATATATGTGAACCTCTGTGGTGGATATTTGAACTCCTCATTTCTAGAGGTTGCATCATTGAAATAGTGTTATATTAGGTTGATATATCATATAAATAATTGGTTTGAATCAAGTGTTATGGTGTTGCTGGCTTTTCAGTTTGGACGAAGATGAAAACTTTAAGGAGGTTTAATGAATCCTTTTCATATATTTTCATGAAGTGCTGATCATGAGAATAACATAAAAATCGTTCTGTTTAGGATTTGTGATACTATTACAGGATACCTAACATAATAGGAGTTTATTTATCATATATGAAATTGATTCAGTGATAAGTGTTGGAATTTAGAGTTCAGTTGATTATGCACTACCACTGATATAAAGTTTGTGAGTATAAAAACTACACATTCTTTATGTGATACTTGAGACATACAAAACAAAAAGTTAGTTTTCATATGAGGATTTGAAGGTGAGTTTTCATTTCTGTAAGCAGTACTTGTATAAAGGTTTCTTGTTTTTGTTGCTGAATAGTTACTAGAAACACTGGTATTTGTTTAGCTGTATTTCAAATTTTAATAGCTCATTCACCTTCACAAAAATGAATTTTAATTTCCTGAAGTGTTGACATCTCTGATATTTTTTGTGTGATTTACATTTCAGATATATCATCACGATGTGAGGACTTAAGATCTACAAAATGTTCTAAAATGTACTAACAATAGTTTATTTAAAATGTATCGAAAACATTTGTGGTGTGTGACAAGTGAATAGTGTATTCATTAACCTATATAGACAAATATTGATTGGTAAACAAGACATTACGTGACATTCAAACAAACACTTCTTGGCAAATATTATTGAGACCAAATCATCATGGCAGCAGCAGTGGAGATTGAAAACAGTATTAGGGTAGATAACTTGTTCTCCCCGGATGAGCAAGATGTGGATATGGCAGCAGAAATGGCTTCATTGTCACTGAAGGTAAGAAACAGTTGTATTGCTTATCCATTATAAAAATATGAACCAATGTGAGAAAAATGATCACTGCATGTAAAACAAGAGATCCTAGAGGGATCTTGGTGCCCACCATCGTACCATCTTCATTAGTTCTATGTCAGTTTGATATTTTCTCTTATTTTCTCTTATCTGTTTGACCGGTTTGCCTGTCTGCCATTTTAATCAGTCTTTAATCAGTCTTTTGATTAACCTCGAAATTTAACATGCACAACTAAGGACCAAGGCGAACTAAGGACCAAGGAGAACTAAGAAAGATTCCCCAGTACTTCCTGAGAAATAGCGACAACAAACTTAAACTGTAACAAGGTCTGATGATGGTGGGCTAGAAAGTGCATACTACATAGATTCATAAAATCTATCCTGACTTGACCCAATGTTTTGTTATTTAGACAGCACTAGTGAGCCCCACCAGTGAGGAGTTTGAGGTACTGTCAGAGACAATCCAGGAGAGGATCATAGAGGGACAAGGAGAAACCATTTATGAAATAGGAACAGGAGGTATGTATCTGTGTACAAGAAATCTTCTTCAAAGTAGCTAATTAAATTGCATGGAAATGATTATATATCATAATATACAGTAACTATTTGTATTTTGTCATACCTACATGTCAATAATTGTATGCTAATGAATTTGAGAAGCGTTCTGAAGGTAAACAGTTTTGATACCAATTAAATAATATTGCAAAAATTAGCTTTGACTCTTCGGTTTTAAACAAAGTGTATATTTGACACATGGTATTGCCCCTCTGAATTATAAGGAAAATGTTATCTGACTTCTGATATTGCTAAATTTCAAGTGTTAACTGAAAGCCTTGTATGAAGCATAATTTGAGGTCAGTAACAAATTGTTAACATCATGAAAAACATATTAAAACAATTTTTTGTCTGTTTTTTTGACATTTAATTCACTTGTGAGTGTATCAGTGTTACAATAAAGTAAAAGCCATAGCCAATACTCCTACTATTTATAACAGAGGGTGGGGCACCAGGACTCTCAGAAGAAGACATGCAGGCATCTATAGCTACACTTACCAGTGTCGCCCAGCCACAGAATCTTGAAATGGTCAAGCTACGAGAGAGGAAAGAAGCAGAGGGTATTGTGGTTGAGTTCCTCCTCAGAAAAACTCTGGAACCTGAGGATTTTATGGAGGTCCGGTAAGTACTATAGGTATTACCCTTTTACACTAGTGTCATGGACTCTGGTGATTTCATGGATACCTGAACATATAGCAGAATTTCATAAGTCTTTTCTCTTTTTATTATTTTTACAGAGTCATTCCAGGTAAACTTAATAGACTCCATGCCTGGCTTTAATGCTCTCACCGCCGAGTAGTTCAAAGTAAACTGCAGAGACTCCACTGTAGATCTAATCTAAAAATACAGTCAGTAAATTATTATTTGTCAGTGATTTCTCTTCTCGTCCTTTGACTTTGGGGAAAATAATTAATAAAAAGCGTGATTTTGGGTTAATAATATCAATACAGATTTTGGGACAATACTGGAGATTTTCCAGAGGAAAGCCCAAAGGGCCTTATAACTGTTAGAAATTAACCGTTACAAAATCTGTGTCTTTCTATAGTAATGGTCAAGAGAGTAGAAGAACTAAATCACTATAGACAGTAGTTTGTATACACAGGTGAGGTATAGTTTCAAAGTGGCTCACTAGTCCACTGACATGTATGTTAGCCTACTCCACATTCTCTGATCTCAGTGAATATTCAAGGTCATGGAAGTAAAAGTTCAAAGTGTTAATTGTTAAGGTAATTGAAGTAAAATATCAAGGTCAAACCTTAATATGATATGTACTCCTGAAGCTAGAGTCTTGAAAGTCATGCTAAATCCTGAAGGTCATCAATTGAATGGTCAAGGTCATTTTTTTTTAAAAACTTAAAATTTCTGTGAATAAGTGTAGACACAGGAAAATTGCATAATTATCAAGGTCATGGTCAAACTTTTATACTTAAAACACAAAATATATGACCTCTTCAAATAGAAGGCTTAAAAAATGCTCAAGGTCAGTGAATGAAGGGTCAAGGACAAGATCAACCTAACCCTAATCACTGATTCCAATACTGATATTTTTGAAGATAAAACTGTCTAAACAAACAAAAACATTAGTAATACTAATGACTGTGGAAAGCCTGCATTTGATTTAACAATTCTAGGTATCCTTGATTTTAGGTCTTATATTAATCACTTAAAACATGACAACACATTTAATGAAATCTTTTTACAACTCATTTATGTAAAAATGTAGCAACGATCTGGTCACACTGCCATTGGCATTTCTTGTATTCTATTGTGTAGATAATCACTCATCAGGAATCCTTACCTGTTGTATTCTATTGTGCAGATAATCACTCATCAGGAATACTTACTTGTTGTATTCTATTGGGTAGATAATCACTCATCAGGAATACTTACTTGTTGTATTCTATTGTGGAGATAAGCACTCATCAGGAATCCTTACCTGTTGTATTCTATTGTGCAGATAATCACTCATCAGGACTCCTTACTTGTTGTATTCTATTGTGTAGATAATCACTCATCAGGAATCCTTACTTGTTGCAGTAAGTCTGACCTTGAGTGACTCTGTACGCAGGAACATATCGCAGCCTCCCAAACACACACGCATACACTACACGCATGCATCTTGCACACAGGGGAGGCCGTCCTTAAATGACCATAGCTGTTAATAGGATGTTAAACAATACTAAACCAAACCAAACTATGTGTTGAAGTGTGTCAATGAGGACATGTAGTGAATTTAAGAAATTATGTTTAAACATTACCATAATGATACAAGACTTGGTCTGACATGTTTACAGTGACCCAAGACCCGGATGTAACTTCTTGGCATGGTCTTGTATGTCTACAGTTATTATTATGTAATGTCTTTGGTACATAGAGTTTTGAATAACACTTGCTTTTACACAGGGTAGCAGTTGTGGGGAATGTGGATGCAGGGAAGAGCACATTGCTGGGTGTGCTCACACACGGAGAGCTAGACAATGGTCGTGGTATGGCCAGACAGAGACTTTTCAGACACAAACATGAGATGGAATCAGGGAGGACCAGCAGTGTAGGCAATGACATCCTGGGATTTGACTCTGTGGGGAAGGTCGTCAACAAACCTGATCACGGCCACCTGGACTGGGTGAAGATATGTGAAAAGGCATCAAAGGTTTGTACACTTCTGCTTATAATGGAGGATTTTGATACTCAAATGTCTGCCAAGACATTGGCACCTATTAGGGTGATTTATTGTGACATTCTGTGGCATTTTAAAAAGGTTGATGACTTAGTACTTGCTTTGCCATTACAATTCTGATGATGTGGACATCAAATGCAATCTTGGAATAAGTGTTTTATCAGTTACTGCAGCAGGTTATAAATATCACTTCTCATACATTTTTTATTTATTTTTTATCAATAAACCTTAAAGCACAATGAAATTACTGTAGAAAATAATCCACTGGGTAAATTAATATTCAAATGTATTAATTTTGATTTTGCATTAACATGTGTTGATTTATTTGTAGAAGTTGAATATTCAGCGGGTTATCACTGAAATGTTTCTATCATAGGTGGTCACATTTATTGATCTGGCTGGGCATGAGAAATATCTGAAGACGACAGTGTTCGGAATGACAGGCCATGCACCAGACTTTGCAATGTTGATGGTAAGTGTTTCACTTGACTCATTTAACGACTGATTCTTGGTTTGCTGATTTCATTGGAATATGAATTGAGTTGGTCTGAAACCAACTAAATAAAATGCAAAGCAACTTGTGTTTAATTCATTAAAAGCACTTCATGTTGAATTTGTCTCAAGACTAACTTAGTTCATCACCCCAAGAGATTGATTCCTTCTGAATACATCATACTATTCATAAAATAAACCAAAATCTATCTACTGATTCTGGTTAGATTGTAGAGGCATGCTATATACTGTTTGTGTTGTTTAGGTTGGAGGGGCATGGGCGATATTACTTTTGTTTTTCAGTTTGTAGGGAATGTTAAGCCTACTTGTCTGTTTTGTAGATCGGAGCCAATGCTGGAGTGATAGGGATGACCAAGGAACATCTAGGTCTGGCCCTGGCACTCAGTGTGCCAGTGTTTGTGGTGGTCACAAAGATAGACATGTGTCCTGCCAATGTCCTCCAGGAAACACTCAAGATGTTACAAAGAATCCTTAAATCTCCTGGTTGTAGAAAGATTCCTGTCCTTGTTCAGAACCAGGATGATGTGGTGTGTTCAGCAACAAACTTCACATCAGAAAGGTAAGTAAATACATGGACAGAGATACTTATCCCTAATCTGGGCCAACAAATAGAAAGTCCTTCATTTTCAGGTAATAATGTGATGTAAAGGGCATTGCAATGTGTGAAAAAATACTTCATTAGTATTGATGGACTGAACAAGCTTCAGTAGAAAATGATAAAAAAAAAATCATGATTAAATGTACAAGTGATGGTTAACACATAGATGTAAATGAGTTCATTTGTTGTTGTTAACATGACATTCTTGCTAAAAAAAGCTATAATGGCATTCTCTGCAATTTCTAAGGTGATAAGAAATAATTACAGAATGTTTTGGTATTGAAATCATGTTTTGTAGATGAACTGCATGTGTACCACCTCTTTTGCAGGATGTGTCCTATATTTCAAGTTTCCAATGTATCTGGAGAAAATCTAGATTTACTGAAAATGTTTATGAACCTGCTGACGACAAGAGTGAAATGTCATCCAACAGAACCAGCGGAGTTTCAGATAGACGATACATTCTCAGTCCCTGTAAGTACTAGTCTGTGAGGCAATGTAAAACAGACTCTGTATTTAGTTAGAAAGACAAAGCACATTTAAACATTCAAGATAATTTTATGGAGTTGAAAAGTGTTCATATATTCCTGATGTTATCAGTAAAGTTTAATTATTTTGCCTTTGTAAGAATCATGCCATAGATAAAAATGTGTTTGTTTTGGGTGATCAGAATCAATAAAAACCTAAATCTGTTTTGTCAGGGTGTGGGAACAGTGGTGTCAGGAACACTACTACAGGGACAGATCAGGCTAAACGACACGGTGTTACTGGGTCCTGACGCTTTGGGACACTTCCAGCCAATTATCATTAAAAGTATCCACAGGAAGAGGATGGCAGTGCGGGAAGTCCGAGGTGGACAGACAGCATCCTTTGCTCTGAAAAAGGTACAAGTGCTGAAGTCTTGGAAATATATACCCTGTAGCCCTCCTCATCCATTCTGAAGCTGTTACATTGACACAATATGAAAAAAAGTTAAAATCTATGAAAGTGAAGAAACTGCTGACCTCCAAGTTATGCGAAAATTGCATCTAAATGCAATAAAAATATAACAGGTGTGTTGTAAGTAATAAGTTGTTGCCTGATTGTACCAATGATGTAAAATAATTTAGATATTGACTCATTGAAACATATTTGTGATTCCAGATCAAGAGGTCCTCTATACGTAAAGGAATGGTGCTGATCTCACCAAGACTAGAACCAAAGGCCTGCTGGGAGTTTGAGTCGGAGATCTTGGTGCTACACCATCCAACTACGATATCGGTCCGCTACCAAGCCATGGGTAATATTTATTCTGACAATGTATATTTAATTGAATTTTTAGAAGATTCATTTTGAAACTAGGACCAAGCGCCCCTCTCCACCTTGAAGAAAGTATAACCAGATGTCTGGTTTTATCAATCTGAGATCTCTTATTGGCATTGTACTACACAAATGTCTTCACAAATTTCTAAGAATCTCTGAGAAAACAATATATTTTATTGACATGAAAACTAGAATTTATTTTAAAACTTTCATGATTCTCATGCAAAGTCACAAGCGGTAATCACATATATGATCCGGGTTAACAATGTAAGTAATATTATAGAAGGACCTTTTGCTTGCTGTTTTGTCATGATATAATTGCATATATTTTTTCTACTCAGTTCACCATTACTTTTTATACGACCGTCAAATTTGACGGTAGTATTATGGTATGGCGTTGTCCGGTCAGCCAGCCGGCGTAAACTTTGTTTGTCCGGCAATCTCTTCCTACATTTTTCGACCGATCTATTTGAAACTTGGTATACATTATAATCATGATTTGAAGTTGTGTCTCCCTTAAAAGAATTTTGATTCGTTAAGTTTTCCAAAAGTTATTGCCCTTTGTTCATTTCAGTATTTAAATTTTGTTCGGAGATCTCCTCCTACATTTTTCGACCGATCTCTTTGAAACTTGGTATACATTATCATCATGATATGAAGTTGTGTCTCCCTTAAAAGAATTTTGATTTGACCCTTTTTTTTTTTTAAAGTTATTGCCCTTTGTTCATTTCAATATTTGATTTTTGTCCTGCAATATTCTCCTACAATTTTTGACCGATCTCTTTGAAATTTGGTATACATTATAATCATAATATGAAGTTGTGTCTCCCTTAAAAGAATTTTGATTCGTTAATTTTTCCAAAAGTTATTGCCCTTTGTTCATTTCAGTATTTAAATTTTGTCCGGAGATCTCCTACATTTTTTTCGACCGATCTCTTTGAAACTTGGTATACATTATCATCATGATATGAAGTTGTGGTTCCCTTAAAAGAATTTAGATTCAACAATTTTTCCAAATGTTATTGCCCTTTGTTCATTTCAGTATTTGATTTTTGTCCTGCAATCTCCTCCTACATTTTTCTACCGATCTATTTGAAACTTGGTATACATTATCATCATGATATGAAGTTTTGGTTCCCTTAAAAGAATTTAGATTCAACGATTTTTCCAAATGTTATTGCCCTTTGTTCATTTCAGTATTTGATTTTTGTCCTGCAATCTCCTCCTACATTTTTCTACCGATCTATTTCAAACTTGGTATACATTATCATCATGATATGAAGTTGTGGTTCCCTTAAAAGAATTTAGATTCAACAATTTTTCCAAAAGTTATTGCCCTTTGTTAATTTCAGTATTTAAATTTTGTCCGGAGATCTCCTCCTACATTTTTCGACCGATCTATTTGAAACTTGGTATACATTATTATCATGATATGAAGTTGTGTCTCCCTTAAAAGAATTTTGATTCTTGAATTTTTCCAAAAGTTCTTGCCCTTTGTTCATTTCAGTATTTAAATTTTGTCCGGAGATCTCCTCCTACATTTTTTGACCGATCTTTTTGAAACTTGGTATACATTATCATCATGATATGAAGTTGTGGTTCCCTTAAAAGAATTTAGATTCAACAATTTTTCCAAAAGTTATTGCCCTTTGTTCATTTCATTATTTGATTTTTGTCCTGCAATCTCCTACATTTTTCGACCGATCTATTTGAAACTTGGTATACATTATTATCATGATATGAAGTTGTGTCTCCCTTTAAAGAATTTTGATTCAACAATTTTTCCAAAAGTTATTGCCCTTTGTTCATTTCAGTATTTAAATTTTGTTCGGAGATCTCCTCCTACATTTTTCGACCGATCTATTTGAAACTTGGTATACATTATTATCATGATATGAAGTTGTGTCTCCCTTAAAAGAATTTTGATTTGACCATTATTTTTAAAGTTATTGCCCTTTGTTCATTTCAATATTTGATTTTTGTCCTGCAATCTCCTCCTACAATTTTTGACCGATCTCTTTGAAACTTGGTATAGATTATAATCATAATATGAAGTTGTGTCTCCCTTAAAAGAATTTTGATTTGACCATTATTTTTAAAGTTATTGCCCTTTGTTCATTTCAATATTTGATTTTTGTCCGGCAATCTCCTCCTACATTTTGGGGGCGATCTTTTTGAAACTTGGTATACATTATAATCATAATATGAAGTTGTGTCTCACTTAAAAGAATTTTGATTTGACCATTATTTTTAAAGTTATTGCCCTTTGTTCATTTCAGTATTTGATTTTTGTCCTGCAATCTCCTCCTACATTTTTCTACGGATCTCTTTGAGACTTGGTATACTTTATAATCATGATATGAAGTTGTGTCTCCCTCAAAAGAATTTTGATTCGACAAAAGGCAATATTTATTGCCTTTTGTTAATTGAAGTATTTGATTTTTGTCTGAAGATTTTCTCCTACATTTTTTATAGCATATCAGCTAACCACTCTTAGAATGATGCAGATCTCATTTCAATGTAAGAAAGTATATAACACTATATGGCTTGTTGCCAGTTGCAGCAGTATTATCCTAAATGTAATTATTGATCTCTTTTCCTGCAGTCCATGTTGGCAGTGTGCGGCAAACAGCGACCATTATCAACATGACCAGCGAGCACCTGAGAACTGGGGACAAAGCCATTGTGAGGTTCAGATTCATCAAAAACCCAGAGTACCTCAAGACAGATATGAAAATGGTGTTCAGAGAGGGCCGCACCAAGGCTATTGGAAACATTAGTAAACTGTATCCTCATGTGAGTGCAGTGGCACAGAACACACGGCAGCACCGGGCGGCCAAGAAGGCCCAGGACGCTAACCACCAGTCACACCCGGCCAACGAGCCGCAGAAACCCAGCAAGAGGAGGCGGTCGCGAGGGGGCACAGCACGGTTACCCCCTCCAACAATACCAGAGCAAGGGGAGGCTAGCTCCTCCCCCTCCCTTATACAGAGGTCTCCCCCAAACAGTGCAGTGACAGTCGCATCGTAATGTTCTGTTGTCAGTCGGCCACCTGTCATTCCATGTGCCAGTCTCTGGTTTACTGGAGAAACATGGTCATCATTGTGTATACTGGTCTGATGAGTTAGTATGTACCAAATGTATTACTGCTTGAGGTGAACATTTAACAAAAAATTGAACAACTGATTTGACCCTGTACTGACACTGGAACTCAAATTACATCATCATATCACTCAGTTATTTTATCATAATTTTAAACCGTTTTGATATATCAATTTATTTTGTTTGTAAAAATAGTAACACCAGTAAAACCATAATGTCTGTGTGTAAAATCTTAATGATAATATTGGTATACAAATCTTCCTGCATGCTTAAGCTTCCTCGTGGTAGCCATATTGATCTCTCTGAACCAACAGATGCACTAACAAAACCATTAAGTTGATGTTTTGAATCCAACCACTTTTCAGAATTGTTACCTAATTTTTATGCTGTATGATTCATAAAATGACAAACAAATCTCATGATAAAAGTATTGCATAAATGCACACATGGAGGAAAATTTTAATTTCCAGTTCAGATTGTATAGAGGATTTTTTTATTTAGATTCATTTTCAATTGGAATTTCTATGTTTTTGCTGGAACGACTTTGCAAGTTGTATACAGAAGGTTCTGAAAGATACTTCCTATTACTCACTTATTAAAAACTTGACAAACCAAATTAAATGTGAAAGACAATAAAATCAATTACATAAAAGTGTTATAGTAGCTACTTTAACTAGATATAAAGTTTTACTGAAGTCTATTTTTAATTTGCCTAACATGTGAACTGGATAACACTGTTTCATTATTGTTAACATCAGATACAAAAAGATATGAATGAATCAATTTTTAATATGAATTTCACAGAATAGTTGAAATTAAATAAGCTTTAAATTGAATGTGTATGTGTTGATGGCGTTTTCTATTCTGTATGTTTACTCAAAGAGAGAATTTTTTATTGAAAGACTTGTATTAGTTTTGTTTTGACTTCGGTTCCCTTCTTAAGAAGGGGAGGTAACTTTGATTGGACACGAAGGCTGTTGAAGAATGTCAAAGTATTATTATACAGTTTGTAATTATATAAGTTACTGTGTAATTTTACAAACTGTCCAAATAATGTGATGTTACTTCTCTAACCAAATTTGGATGAGCACTGTTGAATACCATTACCAAGGTACCCACCCCAGGATCCCTACCGCCACTAGGAACTGACTTCCTTGCAGGGGCGTTTGGTCTCCACCCCCCAGTTGTTACAAATTTGGATTCGTAAAATGATCAAGCAGATATCAAAGGTATAACTGCCTTATCTCAGCCAATTGTTCTCTTTCTTTTACAATCATCTTTGGTGGTGGGTGATGTTTCTTTTTTCCAATTAAAACCAGTGTCATATCTTCAGTGTTAATCCATGTTGAGAGGGCATTAATCAAACTTCCACAGTCTAGGTGAGACTCATCCTCACCAGCCATTCACAATGTCACAAGGTACTGTGTAAGTTATAACAAATTGTGGAGACAGAACTACTTCAATCCTTGAACAGCAGCTACACATGTGTATATAGTACTCTCCATGTAAGTTAATGTAGGTATGGGGTTTGCAGCTATCCAGGTGTCGTCCCACCAGCCCAGTGTTTTTCTGTTGAGTGGGAGGATACTTGAGTAATTTATGTGAGAATGCATGTCACGGAATTGGAACAACCATAATCGTGTTATGTTTACAATTTACATTGTTTGTGTCGATTTGTGAAATGTTTTTGTAAACATACTTTTTTTTTTAAATTAAAGAAAAAATAAAATGTGTTGAAGCTAGACTGTGTTCTAAATACATTTACACATTTGGTACTTATTGAGAAGACAAGTACAGTGTACATTGGTAAGGGTAGATCTAGATTTTTATCTCTGAAGGAATGTATAAATTAACAAAGGAGTAAACAAGAGGGTCTACATTTCTGACCATGACACTAATCGGGAAGCATACTTATTTTACTACAGATTAAATGATGTTGCAGTTTTTACAGACGATTTGAACCTGTTAAGGTAATTACATGTAAGTGGAGTCGGAAAAGGGAGTGATGCTTCCAATTGCTATATAAGAACGACCTCGAAACCACAGCTTATATACATATAAGCATTGGGGTGGCATTTTAACCGAAACCCCTAAAACACATAAAATTAATCTGAACACCTTAGTTTAGGTCCAAATATAGCTGAAACAAATTCTCAGGTTCCTGTGTATATGATCATTGGGGGTGTCATTTTTACAGAAAGTCCATCTAACCCCTAAAACTTGTAATAGTTTAGGTCCAAAAGTAGGTGTAACAAATGCTCAGGTACTGAAACTAATCATACATCCAAAATTGTTTGGACCAAGATCAGCATGAAAGGGGGAAAGGCACCATGTCTCTTAATCTTACCACAGTAACACAACAATGAAGTAAACATGAATGGTTTTGAGACATCTCTTTAACAAAAGGCCCAGAGGGCCTGTATCGCAAACCTGAATATGTTTAAAATAATTGGTATGAAGTAAAGATATAGCACTCCATGGTAGGTGCTGTAAGTACATACATTTGTGAAATCTCAGAAAGATCCATCCAGTACTTGAGATATAGCAAGAACAAACTTCAAACAGAGCCTCACCCCTGTGCTCCTAGGGGGACATACTGACCGTTTATACAAAATTGAGTCCCCTTGACCCAATGATGCTCCAGACTAAGGATAAAATCCCTAAATCCTGATTATTGAAGAAGGATTTTAAAGGTTTTACCTCTATTTCTCCTATTGGGCTCCTCCCTTTTGCCCCCTGGGAGACCACACCCACTGCTTATACAAAATTGAGTCCCCTTGGCCCAAGGATGTTCCAGACTAAATTAGGATAAAATCCCTTAATCCCTATGGTAGAAGATGGGTTTTAAAGGTTTAACCTCTATTTCCCCTATTGGGCCCCGCCCTTCTGCCCCCTTGAGTACCACACCCACTGCTTAAACAAAATTGAGTCCCCATGGCCCAAGGATGCTCCAGACTAAATTAGGATAAACGCCCTTAATCCCTATGGTAGAAAAAGGATTTTAAAGGTTTAACCTTATTTCCCCTAATCGGCCCCACCCCTCTAACCCCAGGGGAGCCACACCCACGGTTTATGAAAAATTGATTCCCCTTGGCCCAAGGATGCACCTGGCTAAATTAGAATAAAATCCTTTCATTTCTACAGAATAAGCACGATTTTAAAGAATAATTTTCTTTGTTTCCCCTATTGGGCCGTTAATACTTTGGGGAAACGACACCGCTCTGGAATTACGATCGTCAATTATATGGAAGATCAAATCGTTAGAAAGTTGACTAGGCTGATTTTACTAAAACCTTTGTGATAATGTCTTTTTCACACACTCGGAAGAGTTGATGCAATTTAGAGACCGACATTCTCCCGCTTGTATTTAATAAAATGCAAATGTAGTCAAAAACAAAATAGCGTAAATATAGCCCTGGTATTTGACCAGCTGACGTATTTTGCGGCGCTGGAGAAGCAATCGATAGATATGTGTGATTTGTTAGCATTTGCGGCAGATGTTCTTGACAGCGTTTCATAATAACACAGCCAAAATCAATCTTTAACCTGTGTTACCGACATGATAGGGCTTCAAAAGCATCAACCGCCACACTATTACAGAATGTCCGACATGGGTTGCCAATGTTGACATTTTTATTTATTAATTCTAGCACGGACTTAGATAATCTAATTCCGTGATTCTAGCATGTAGAGTGAGATCTAGAAAGTTAAGGTAAAGGACATCAATGGGTCAATTTTAATCGTGAAGAAGAGTTCCACTCAGGGTTTTACATTTGACTTGGAGTATTCTCCCCTCTAAAACATCTTCGCTAGCTAAGTGTTGATTTAAACATATGTTTAATTGCGTCTAATATACAAAAGGGATCGGGCACAAGTTGTCCAACTTATGTAAAGCCCTTTCCCTATAACATAATGAAATATATATATATACAAGATGGCAGTTAAGTGTTCGCTAGGATTGTATACGAACTATAAAGAAATTGGAGCAATCTAAATGCGTTTTTTGGCTTAGAGTGACTTCCCCTGTTAATTTTTAATTGGACACTCATTTTGATGCTATACGGCTACATTGCTGAAGTGTAGGCGGTGTGATGTAAATGTTTCCTTTTCGACCCCTGCTGTTTTGTTGTTTTCTTTTTTATTTCAATTTCAAACATTCAAATTTCGAACTACTTCAATTCTGTCAAATACAAGGATGCTGGGCACACTAATAATAAATTGATGTATATATACCATATATTATAAAGTATATACACATCATAATACTATTTGTGTGTCCAGCCCCTGTGGTCATATGCATGGCAAAATGGTAAACTTTATTAACGAATATTTTACAATAGTGACATTTGATATATTGTAGTTAAACTTGCTGGTACCTCTTTGCCTTAATTGATTTTAGCCATGAATAACTAACATCACTTAGTTGTCCGAAAACATGACTTACATTCGGATTATTTCGTAAGAATCCTGAGTTAAATCAATTCAAATTCGGGATACAGCCTTTCAGTACATCTACATCTCCTTTCCAATATAAGCTACTACTTCCTGTTTTGTGTTGCCATGGATATGTCAGATCATATGGCACGTTGTTCAGTTTTAGTACTGAAACAAACTGTTTATTATTTACACAATTATTTTTAACAAAAAATGTTTAATCTTTATATAATGTTTTCTGTCAAACAGGTTTTATACGAAATAGGTAAAAATTGATCTTTGATCGCTCTAATTTCATTCCTATTGTTTTGTAAAACCGGGGATAACAGAGACCTCATAACTGTTAATGTAAGCTTTACTCGTCCTTACTGGGCAATCATTCACAGGAACACGTTGTTTAGTTTAACGGTGTTCAGGGCTAAAGGTGAAGCCTTGATTCAAATGAGTTTTCAGCCAGGACTTTAAAATGGGTGCGTGGAGTATGTAGTTATAATACATGGCCATTGTTTTGACGCCGACAAAGCAGGTAGTCGACATTGTCAGGGTTCATAAAGAAACAAGGTAAGTCCACAACAAGTCCTGACATTTTAGGTCGATAAATAGAGAAACAGGTACAGATGGGGGAGAGAAATGTAACTAGCCAGGGAGGATGTGATTTCTCCGAGGACTTGGTGTCTAAAACAATTAAAAAACACCTTAGGGGTGTCAAAATTGAAATGTGAATTCCATTCAGTTGTAGACCACTAGACAGACAGAAGGTTAATACACTAGTACTAACCTGCCATGTATATCGACGGTCCTGATTGTTGTGGGAAACCTGTGACCTGTAATACTACAAACTTGTAGATATCGTTTTATATGCATACTTTTAAGAAAATGTCTCAAAACACATTGGATTAGAACAACATTTAAAACAATAAATGTACATTAGCTGTATTGATAAACACTCCTTAACAACGCGTATCATGGACATTTCTGGGGCGATGCTGTCTACTGTTCTATAAATATCTGTCTTACAATCAATGGAGACCTAAATGTTCGGACTAGTGTGTCTGGTCTAATTTGTATGATTTATATTACAAAAGTGGGGTTTTTTTGTATTCTAAATCATATTATTTATGGTCAAAACTTGCCATATATTTTCTAATTCTTAAATTTTATTTCAGAAGATCTTGTAATGTATTTTTAAAATAATGAGTCATGCTTTTAAAAATCGTGTGAGTCATATTCTAAAATATAATTTCTATCATGCGTAATCTGACGTTATTGGCATGTCTCAACACCATACCTATAGGAATGGGATGGGACAAATTCCCTTTAACCGTTTATAACACTACATACCGGTGATCCTAAAATTATCTTTTTTTGTGGTGCAAAGAATAAAATGTTCACCATAACAATTACAGCTTTTAAAAATACATTATAAAAGAAAATCACAGTATGGATTAAAAAATTGTAACAGTGACTCACAATATTGGTCAATCAATTTTGTAGATAAACCGGGCATTTGCAAGCCAAGCGGTATGCGCATTGTCAATTATATATATTGTTGAGCCGAGGCTGATATAAGAACTCAATAATACTAAGGGAATCAGTCTAAGCGACTATGTTTTAGTTAAAGATACGTAATTTGATGACTTTCTTAACAATACCTGTGTTTTTAGATAACCAAGTGTTACTGTATGGTTCAATAACAGTAGATATATATATCAGACCCGTATAAACTGTCGTGTTGAATTCCGATTACCATTAACTGATAGCAGACAAGTCAATAAAAAAATTTAAGTCACGCGTGAAATGGTGAGGTTAATGGCGTGTGTATAATTGTGATCGTTACCTCTGAACAATTGACGGGTGTGCATACTTAAACATCAGTGGTATCGCCTGAATAGGCTACGTAAAGGTCAATGTAATAGGTAATACAGACTATAACCGGGCAAACGTAGGCAAGGGAGGTAAATGTCAATGTAACGGGTAATTCAGACAATAACCGGGCAAACATAGCCAAGGGAGGGAAATGTCAATGTAACAGGTAATACATACTATAACCGTGCAAACGTAGCCAAGGGAGGGAAATGTCAATGTAACAGGCAATTCAGACAATAACCGGGCAAACGTAGCCGAGGGAGGTAAATGTCAATGTAACAGGCAATTGAGACAATAACCGGGCAAACGTAGCCAAGGGAGGAAAATGTCAATGTAACAGGTAATTCAAACAATAACCGGGCAAACGTAGCCAAGGGAGGCAAATGTCAATGTAACAGGTAATTCAGTCAATAACCGGGCAAACGTAGCCCAGGGAGGTAAATGTCAATGTAACAGAATGTAACAGGTAATAAAGAATATATCCGTGCAAACGTAGCCAAGGGAGGTAAATGTTAATGTAACAGGTAATAAAGAATATATCCGTGCAAACGTAGCCAAGGGAGGTAAATATCAATGTAACAGGTAATTCAGACAAGAACCGGGCAAACGTAGCCAAGGGAGGTCAATGTCAATGTAACAGGTAATACAGACTATAACCGTGCAAACGTAGCCAAGGGAGGGAAATGTCAATGTAACAGGCAATTCAGACAATAACCGGGCAAACGTAGCCAAGGGAGGTAAATGTCAATGTAACAGGTAATAAAGAATATAACCGTGCAAACGTAGCCAAGGAGGTAAATGTCAATGTAAAAGGTAATACAGACTATAACCGTGCAAACGTAGCCAAGGGAGGTAAATCTCAATGTAACAGGTAATACAGACTATAACCGTGCAAACGTAGCCAAGGGATGTAAATGTCAATGTAACAGGTAATACAGACTATAACCGTGCAAACGTAGCCAAGGGAGGTAAATGTCAATGTAACAGGTAATACAGACTATAACTGGGCAAATGTAGCCAAGGGAGGTAAATGTCAATGTAACAGGTAATACATACTATAACCGTGCAAACGTAGCCAAGGGAGGTAAATGTCAATGTAACAGGTAATACAGACTATAACCGTGCAAACGTAGCCAAGGGAGGTAAATGTCAATGTAACAGGTAATACAGACTATAACCGTGCAAACGTAGCCAAGGGAGGTAAATGTCAATGTAACAGGTAATACAGACTATAACCGTGCAAACGTAGCCAAGGGAGGTAAATGTCAATGTAACAGGTAATACAGACTATAACCGTGCAAACGTAGCCAAGGGAGGTAAATGTCAATGTAACAGGTAATACAGACTATAACCGTGCAAACGTAGCCAAGGGAGGTAAATGTCAATGTAACAGGTAATACAGACTATAACCGTGCAAACGTAGCCAAGGGAGGTAAATGTCAATGTAACAGGTAATACAGACTATAACCGTGCAAACGTAGCCAAGGGAGGTAAATGTCAATGTAACAGGTAATACAGACTATAACCGTGCAAACGTAGCCAAGGGAGGTAAATGTCAATGTAACAGGTAATACAGACTATAACCGTGCAAACGTAGCCAAGGGAGGTAAATGTCAATGTAACAGGTAATACAGACTATAACCGTGCAAACGTAGCCAAGGGAGGTAAATGTCAATGTAACAGGTAATACAGACTATAACCGTGCAAACGTAGCCAAGGGAGGTAAATGTCAATGTAACAGGTAATACAGACTATAACCGTGCAAACGTAGCCAAGGGAGGTAAATGTCAATGTAACAGGTAATACAGACTATAACCGTGCAAACGTAGCCAAGGGAGGTAAATGTCAATGTAACAGGTAATACAGACTATAACCGTGCAAACGTAGCCAAGGGAGGTAAATGTCAATGTAACAGGTAATACAGACTATAACCGTGCAAACGTAGCCAAGGGAGGTAAATGTCAATGTAACAGGTAATACAGACTATAACCGTGCAAACGTAGCCAAGGGAGGTAAATGTCAATGTAACAGGTAATACAGACTATAACCGTGCAAACGTAGCCAAGGGAGGTAAATGTCAATGTAACAGGTAATACAGACTATAACCGTGCAAACGTAGCCAAGGGAGGTAAATGTCAATGTAACAGGTAATACAGACTATAACCGGGCAAACGTAGCCAAGGGAGGTAAATGTCAATGTAACAGGTAATACAGACTATAACCGTGCAAACGTAGCCAAGGGAGGTAAATGTCAATGTAACAGGTAATACAGACTATAACCGTGCAAACGTAGCCAAGGGAGGTAAATGTCAATGTAACAGGTAATACAGACTATAACCGTGCAAACGTAGCCAAGGGAGGTAAATGTCAATGTAACAGGTAATACAGACTATAACCGTGCAAACGTAGCCAAGGGAGGTAAATGTCAATGTAACAGGTAATACAGACTATAACCGTGCAAACGTAGCCAAGGGAGGTAAATGTCAATGTAACAGGTAATACAGACTATAACCGTGCAAACGTAGCCAAGGGAGGTAAATGTCAATGTAACAGGTAATACAGACTATAACCGTGCAAACGTAGCCAAGGGAGGTAAATGTCAATGTAACAGGTAATACAGACTATAACCGTGCAAACGTAGCCAAGGGAGGTAAATGTCAATGTAACAGGTAATACAGACTATAACCGTGCAAACGTAGCCAAGGGAGGTAAATGTCAATGTAACAGGTAATACAGACTATAACCGTGCAAACGTAGCCAAGGGAGGTAAATGTCAATGTAACAGGTAATACAGACTATAACCGTGCAAACGTAGCCAAGGGAGGTAAATGTCAATGTAACAGGTAATACAGACTATAACCGTGCAAACGTAGCCAAGGGAGGTAAATGTCAATGTAACAGGTAATACAGACTATAACCGTGCAAACGTAGCCAAGGGAGGTAAATGTCAATGTAACAGGTAATACAGACTATAACCGTGCAAACGTAGCCAAGGGAGGTAAATGTCAATGTAACAGGTAATACAGACTATAACCGTGCAAACGTAGCCAAGGGAGGTAAATGTCAATGTAACAGGTAATACAGACTATAACCGTGCAAACGTAGCCAAGGGAGGTAAATGTCAATGTAACAGGTAATACAGACTATAACCGTGGAAACGTAGCCAAGGGAGGTAAATATCAATGTAACAGGTAATACAGACTATAACCGTGGAAACGTAGCCAAGGGAGGTAAATATCAATGTAACAGATAATACAGACTGTAACCGGGCAAACGTAGCCAAGGGAGGAAAATGTCAATGTAACAGGTAATGCAGACTATAACCGTGCAAACGTAGCCAAGGGAGATACACCTTATTCCACTTACTACAGTTTGTGTAAATCAAAAGTACGTAATATTGATTTTTAAAATATGTAATTCTAATGAAAAGAGAGAATGAGTTGAGCAGAAAAAGTAACTATATAAGAACCATATTGAGTATAGGATAAGAGATCCAAGGTTGAAAGCGGATAGTTTTTCAAATACTATTTGTTTGGTGTTCTAGGCACAGGTGGACACTCAACTGTAGGTAATGACATCTTTAGTTGTGAATGTGATTTTTCCAGGGTTTATTTAATGAGTTAGACGTTAATATAACACGGAGATAGAATAATGCAAGCCTCCTCAGAGAGGGTTTGGTCCCCTTTAATTTCATT